TTTTTTATTCCTTTTTTCCTATTTTTGCTATATTAAGGAACATTTTTGCATCCTTTAATCCATCTTCACGACTTCAAATTATATTTTAATCAAAACTTTCGGTATCTTCTGCAAAAATAAAAAAGTATATTAGAAAACGGAAAATAAGAAAACATTTTTATGTTTGCACAATTATGAATATTTATCAATATGTATATCGTAAATATCAATATGTTATAATAGGTTAAACTACATTTAATTTATTAAAAAAATATGTATCGTATCGCATGTTGAAATTATATATACTAACAGTATAAAAAATATTTACCTTTGAGTACTTTCTTGTCGCACTGATTTTCACATTTTTCATCACAATAATTAGAATTATGTCCTGCATTTGAGCATCCTTTTTCACAATTGTTGTAACAATTTCTGTAAGCATTTAACACTTTTCCTAATGCTTTTTTAGATTTTTCTTCTTTACTTTCTTCATTAGCCATGGAGACATGTACATATGAAGAAATCATAATAATGCAAACAAGAAATACTACAACTTTCTTTGATGCCTCCATTTTTTATTTTTTATTAATATATGTTGTACTTCACTTTTCTTTTCTTTTTTAAAATGTTTTTTTTTTTTTGGATGATTTGGTTATGCTATTGAATCTTCTATTTGTAGATGTTTTTGGGACGTTTAAATACCTCAAGTTAAAGTGATGGATATCCAGATTTGTATGAAAGTTTTGGTTGTGCTTGTTTTTTGTTTTCCTAATTTCCTTATAGAATCTAACTAATTAGTATATACTAGTGTAAGCTAAGAGATTAATAGGTGTTATATAATTTCATGATTAGTGGTGGCAAATGGGCGGGTTGGATAAAAATGGATTGGGTAACAAATGGGTTGGGTAAAATACTAGTTTATCCATATTTTATCCATATTTTCATGAGTAAATAGTACTCTACTTTATAAGAATTCAACATGGAGAAAATATTTTAGTCTTTTTTTAGATGAAATATGTTGAAAATGCTTTATTTAGTTTTATTGTATCATAAAAGTAAAAAAAATCCTATAACTTTTCAATATAAAATAAATTTATGTTTTCCTTGAAAACAAGTAGATTTTTGACTTATTTTCTCATGCTTGATGGTGAGTAGAAATTTTTATTTTTGGAAAAGATTTGTAGTGTTTGGTTTATGAATGAAAAATATCTTTTATTTTTACTAGAGTAGAAAATATTTTTTAA